TATGGAATTTGATATACATATCGAAATTTTGCATATCGAATGTAGATGAAATTCTAATTCATTTTAAATTTATTAGTAATTTTTTGTTTTAAATATATTGTTATAAAAGGAATTTCTATTTTTAATTTAACCGTATTTTTCAATATAAAAGTTTTTCAAAGTACTAAAATTTTACAATAGTACTAATATTTTAAGTGTTGCCGTATACCATTTCATATAGTACAGAATTGTTATAGCAATTTTAATTGTAAATTAATTAAAATAACTGAAATTTTTATAAAAAAACTAAAATTAAATTATTTATCACTAAAATTCATAAAAACACAATTAATGACGATGCTACTTTCTAAATAAATCAAATTCTTATATGTAAAAATCAATGATTTTTTAAGTATTTTAAATAACAAATTTAATTCGACTCTAATTTGATCGAAGAATTGAATGAAAATTTGTTTTGAAAATTAGAAATAATTTATTATAAATATTTTTCTAATAATTTAATATAAACTTATTATTATTATTGGTCTTATTTTTTTACAATCTTCATTAATTTTCTTTAATTAAATATTTATATAAATAAAAATAAGTTAATTTAGTAATTAATTTCTTTTAACATTTTTTGTTTTTTCTTTTATTTAATTTGCAGCGAAAGTTTTAGATAACTTTAATAATGGTAAGATTATAATGGTATATATATACCAATAGATCATAAGAGTTAATTTCGTTTTATTTGTATAAAGCATAAATTAAAAAAAACTAGTTAAACACGAAATTTTTGTAAAATTACAACGCGTAAAAATTTTTTAAAATTAAAATTCTAAATTTTCTTTTTCATTATTTTATTATGAAAAAAGCGGGAAAACTATTGTTTTCCTTTTAATTGCAATATTGTCTGTTGTTTGTTTTATTGAAAAATTTCAAGCGTGTTTTTTAAGAACGAATATTGTTGTGAATATAAGTGAATAAATAAAAATACAAAAGCCAGTTAATTTTTTTTTTATTATTTTCTTATGATTTTAATTTTTTTGGCTTAAAATTTTGCTAAATCTTTTTTATTTTTTTTGTATTTATACGTTTAAACCGATCATGACAGCACGCTGTTTAAATGATAACTAACTAACTAAATAAAATGGAAAATTGAGGGAGATTTGATACCAAAAATTTTTAAAAAATATTTTTTATACGTGTATTTTTTTTTGTATTTCATTTGTATTTTTATGTTTAGATTTTCTTCTCTTTTACAATAGGTTGTTTTTTTTTTTTGTAAATGGCTTATTAAAAAAAAACTCTTCCTCCCTACGATGGGTTTACAAAAAATTTAACTCTTTGTTTTTATTATAAGGTGCTTAAGTTGAAGATGTACAAGTAACTTTATTATTTTGTCTATTTAAGAGTTGACGAAGAGTAAAATACCAAATTTGGTATAAATGATTTTTTTCTGAAATTGAAAATAAAATTTAAAAGGGTGGTGGTATAATTATGTTACTGTTTCATATTTGCTTTTTTTTTTCTTGTTTTTTAATTGAATTATTGTGCAATATGTGAAGAAAATATTAAGAAAAGAAATAGATGAAAAAGATGTACAATGCAAAATAATACGACATTTTAAACTATTTCAATGAAATTATAATTTTGAGACAAATTAAATTGAATGCTAAACAAAATTTATAGGAAATTATTTTGTATTAAAATTATAATAGTAGTGATGATGTTAATGATGTTGATTGAGTGTAATAATTTATGTTTATTGTTATTGTTGATGAAGCTGATAACATACAAACATGTACATCTTTTAGTTTTCAAATATAAATTTCAATAGAGAGAATTTTGAATTTATATGAATTGTATAATGTTGCCACATGTTTTTCTTTTTTTCCCTCCGTTTTAATTAAGTTATTTATTATAATAATATTTTTGATTAGAAGTAAATGAAAGAAAATAAAAATAATATGTATATAGTGAAATAAAATTAAGATAAATTAATTTATTAGTGCATCACAAATCTTTTTTTAAAATGATTACGTATTTCATAATATAATTGAATAAATAACAAATTGTTAAAATAAAGTTATATTTTATTTATTTCAATTAAATTAATTAATTCGAAAGAAATAAATGGATAATTGCATTGACTGACATATTTTTGAAGAAAATAAAATAATTAGGTGAACTGTCGTATATTAGTCGTATAGCGTATAAAAATTTATCGAGATATAAAATAATTTTAATATGCTTTTCTTATAGAAATATAACAAATAAGTTATTATACAATTATAGTACTTGTGTTATAATTGCAAAATCGACAAAACAATATTTTAATAAATTTTAATTCTATCTAAAATTTATCAGTGTTTAATACAGGGTGTTTCATTTTTACAAAACTGTTAGCTTTGAATGGGCTCTTGCAAATATGGAAAAATTTGTCGTATGCGGCTAAAATTAAAGTAAATTTCATATAATTTTTTTAATTTTTTTCTAATTTTGAGTGTAACTTAATTGTTTCTGTTTTCGACAGGCCAATGATTAGATATAACTTTGAAATTTCAGAAACTACACTTCTAAATCTTTTCAGATTTTAGAATCACATAGTTGTTAAACGTAAAATTAAAGTTTGAAAAAAACAGTTATTATCTATTCATTTAATTAATAAATTAACCGTTTTCTAAAAACGGTTAATTTATTAATTAAATGAAACGTTATTGTGGACAAAACTGAAAAATTTAATTTCGATTTGTGAATTGATTTAAAATCAATGTTTCCTCAACTGTATTAAATGCGCTCAAGAACAAAATATATATAGAAGATACAACTGAGAGCTAAAATTGAGAGGAACAGAGATTATTATTGCAAATTTCTCAAAAAGAAATATGATAAAAATTGATGAAAATTTAAAATAAATTTCTGGAAATTTGAAAAAAAATTTTTGAATTTATAAATTTTTATAGTTAGCTTAAAAATAATAAACGATAGCAGTATTTAAGTAAAATTTTTATAAAATTTCAAAAAGCTGTTGGAATTCAATGTTAAATTAAAACAATAAAGATATCAAATTTAAAATTTTTTGTAACATTATTGTTATACAATCTGCAAATTACATAAATACATGTATATGTTCCATAGTCAGTATTTGTGCTTTGTAATAAACTAAAAGTGAATTCTAATGAGAACACGTAAAATTTTAAAATAATAAATATCATATTGCATGCTACTAGAACATAATTATTCAAATAATATAAAAGAAACGAAAATTATGTAAAACTATTTTTATGTGACGCTTTAAAATACTTTAGAATTTACATTAATGAGAAAATCATATAATTATTTCTTGAGAGCAATTTTGATTTATTCTTATTTATTAGAAAATTCATACTACTGCTCATTTTCATGTGTGTATTGATTCTCATGTGTGCATTTTATAAAATGTTGTTAAGTACAAGGTGCCATGAATCAGAAAATTTATTCAAATCTCTTTAAATTTATTATGCACTTCCGGAAATATTTAGAATTAAATTTTAAATAAAAAATTAAAAGTGAAATATAATTTACCCTAATAATTTGTAATTAAAATTGTTGTTTCATTTAATTTGGTTGTTTTCGCTTATTTTTCCATTATTCAGCAAAAAATTTCTTCAAGCAACTTAATTATGTAAAGTAATTTAAACTTTTACTCTCATTTATCGTATTTACTCGTATTTATAAAAACAAATTCATATACATATACCACATATCTTTCCGAAGATTCATTAAAAATTCCAACTCATCTTTTACATTTTAATCTAAATTTCCATATCGTATTATTGTTGTAAAATTTCCTTGCATTTAAATTTTATGCAATAAAAAGTAACCCTACGTTTAATAATCAGTATGGAAAACCATAGTAATGGCCTTTCACTGTTTCCAAGTAATTAGAATGTAAATTTAACTTTTTGTTTTCTTAATTCAAAAATTTATTTAAAATTCAATACTTAAAAGTTTTGATTTTGTTTAAAAGTGAAAAAATTTCTTTTTTTTTTTTTGTTGTTATAAGATAATTAATGATTAATGTGTTTGTTGTGGGTAATTTTTTTTTTGGTATACAAGTGAACTAAACACATAGTGGTAATAATAAAAGTGAATTAACAATTTTTTCAATGATCAAACTAATAAAAATTCACCAATGGTATCCTGTTTACTTTATTATCTTATTAATAGCAAAATACATGCATATTGAATATTTTACTATAAAAATGCATAAAGTTTAAAGGCGAGTTCAATACGATAAAAGATAATGATAAAGTTTTGAATTTTAAATGTGTGCAAGCCAATACAAATTTCAATTGAATTTTAAATTTTCTTTTTACAATCAGAAAAATAACTTTTTACTTTTATGTTTTCATTATAAGTGCTTGAAAGCAGATGAGCATGCAGTAACGTATTCTAAAAATTTATGCTTAAAAATGTAAAATTTGTACATACACTGAATTTATAAAACCATTTAAAATGTAAAGCTATGAAGCAAAATTAAAGTATATTTAAACCCATATGAACATATTTTCGAACGATAAGTCAAATTCCCAACTTCGTTTATAAGGTTTAGAAAAAGAGCTCCTTGAATTCAAATTTTCATAGCAATACGAGGTTAATATACAACTCAGTAATTATACAACTCATAAAGTAGATTGTTGTGTTTCAATACAATATTATTGAAGCTTTGCATTCTAAAATTTAAACAACAAATATGTATATAAATTTAAACATACAAACTTGTAACCTTAATAATAATAAAACTTATAATCGTAATAACTCAAATTTTTGATTAATATAGCTATCACAGACAAACGTATGGATAGAGAGACAAGCTTGCGAATGCGGTTATATGTTTCGGCCTAAATCGCAGCGTATGATTTATTGACAACTTTTTATAAAGAATTATGTAGACGGCCACTAAGAAATTAATTATTAAAATTTGAATTCAAAAATAATTATGGAAATATAGAAATTTTTAAAATTTTAATACTTACTCATTTCTAAAATGTTGCATTGCAAATTGTAATAGAGAATATTTCGTTATTGATTGTGATGAATTTGGTATATCTTCATCATCAGCTGTATGTCCCAATAAAGATGATTCTAAATGATTTTCTCTTGACATTTTACGTGCTGCATGATGCATTGCTTGCTGTTGTTTAATTAAATGTCTTTCAATTTGTTCTAAATGATGTGAATTTCCATGATGAAGATGTTGACTAACAATATCACCACTACCAATAATACCGCTACCACTTGCATTATTATTATTTATTTGGCTATGATGCCTATGACCATTAATTTGATTATGTTGCTGTTGTTGTTGTTGTTGTTGCTGCTGTTGATGATCAATTTCATGGCCACTGACCATACGATGATGACTAGTACGATGATGTTTCTCAACACTTGATACTGAATCACGATGATGTGATTCACGGGATTCAAGACGTTCAAGAGGAACATTAAGGGTTTGAGCTGCAGCTCTTGCGCCTGATGATAATGTTGAATGTTTTGATTGTGCCTAAAAACAAAACAAAAATGAGAACAATAAATGAATGTATTTTTAAAAAAATTAATTTGATTTAATTAAAAATTAAAACGGATATACGGTTCTACAGGTATTTTGTGTTTTAAGATTAAAGGTATTAAAAGCTCGGTAACATATTGTTGTATAATTTGCATGATTTTAACATAATATGCATATTGTTAATACGATTTTATGATTTATTATGGTATGTAGTTTTCAATTACAAGTAGTGAATGTGATTTTGTCAGTGTTTTATATAATGCTTATATTTTTGGAAAAGTATTTAATAAAATTACAATAAAAATTTAGAAACTGTGGCGAAATTGAATTTAAAAAATTAAATATTCATATATACTTTTCATAGCTTTTCATAGCATACAATAAATCGAAAAGTCCAATAGATTATACGAAGTGCCTTTTTTAATTTAGGAAATATTTTTGACATCAGAATTGTATTGCTGATTTTGATAAAAAAGTAAAATTTGCCAAACAATTTATGATAGGGTATTTGTTTTTGCTTGAAGTTAAGATGATCAAAGTTAATTTTGTAGTATAGATCATTACCGTATGTTTCACTTAGCATTGCTAATAAAAATTTTGCAAAATATGAGCATTTAACTATATAAAACTTGCAAACTAATCTAAAATAAATCGTTTAAATAAGTTAATATTCATATAAAAATTAAAATAAAAATATAAAAATTTTAATTCAACTTTCTATAAGACGCTAATGTGGTCTATACGTTTTTAGTTATAGTCAGTTACGCGTATCTAATATCGTAGTTTAAATACTGCCATAACGTAACTTCAATTGAAAAACAAATTTGAATCGCAAATAAATAATTGTAAAAGAATATAAGAAAAAAGAGAAAAATTGAAATAAAAAATGGGAAAGTTATTATGGAAAAACAAAGAAAAAGAAAAATGAAAGAAAAACTAAAATGTTTGAAACGCAACGGCGTACTATAAACGCCACAATAAACTCATTGCAAAATCGTAAAAATCGGATTATGCTAATTTTCAATAGTTTTTTTGTATTTCAATAAATTTCTATACAATTATGGCAATAATGCACACACACACATAATTTACTTATGAATGTTCTTTATTAAACTTTTTACATAATTTTTTGCACTTACATAGAAATGCAATTTAGCTTTATTTTTTTTTAGGTCAAAAGCATAGATTTGTAGTATTGAAATTGTTCTTTTTATAATGAAACAATAAATTTGTTGTTGCCCTTTAGGCAAAACATAAGTAATATTATTTATTTTTTTTTTTTGGAACTTTGAATTTGCAAGTGGATTGTTCTAAGGTTTGATCTCTTTCGATAATCTAATTATAATTGAAATATTATTTCAATATGCCGGTTGGAAGAAATTTTGCCCGTAATGAGGCTTTGATTATAGCTGAAGAATATATTTCTAAAGTCAAAACTAGTTTATGATTTGATTTTGATGAATACGGTTCAAATAGCAAAAGTTCTTTTAAAATAATCAAAGAAGAAATAAAATTATACGGACAGAATAATAATATCCCTCAGACATAATTTTGGGTATTTCAATTTTAATACGTTTGCTCGCGACACTTTTCAGATTTTAAATTAATCTGCCGAAACCTCACATCATATGAGTCATAAAACTAGATAGCGCTTCCAACAAGATAAAGGAGTCGCCACTTAATGAATACAATGAATAATTTTAACATTCTCGTAACAACATCTGCAAAACGACCGGTACACATATATTAATTTGCATAAATACGGTAACAGAATCAGTAGTGATCCATGAAAGAGTTATCTCTCACCTGGGGTGCGCATTTAAAAATTTCTGTTGTTATCTGACCATTACTGGGCTGGGAGTGAAAATTTATTAGTTTGTTCATTTACCAATATTCAACTTATATTTAATATTAAATATTCCATTAAATTATTAGTTTTAAGAGATTCGAGAATTTGATTGATAGACAAAAGTTTGATGCTACAACTTCATAATTATGTCTGTACATACGAGTGCATAACAACCTTAGTTGTTCATATCAGTTTATGTTTTTATATTTTTATTACATTGTAATAATCGCCGTATGTTAAAAAATTTAAACGCCCAAACATTTTTAAAATGAAATCCTTTCATATCCACCTATATATCTACTCAAATGATTATAAATAACATTATTGAAAAATAAAATCATGTGTACATTATACATTGAAAGTGAATCTTTATGCTGCATGTATAATAAAAATGTAAAATATATTAAAATTATATTAATATTCCAGTTTATTAATTTTTTTTATCAAATTAAATACAAAATAATAATTATATGATATGATAACTTTGATAATGGAAAAAGTGGTAGGGTAGTATAATTGTTGGATGTTTCATAAGAAAAAAATCACTTATCACATGGACTATAAAAAAAAATTTAATAACAACTTGAACCTGTCATATAAAATACTGATTTCCAATATATACGTATTGTGATTTCCAATATTTATAAATGACAAGTGCAAGTTATACAGTCTCTTTTTTTATAATATTTTATATGTATGTACGTTATACTAGCCATACTACATTTATAATTCAATTTTGAAAGTATAATTTTCTAAACAAATATCTTTAAGTTATTTTTGAAAAGAAAAAAAGTAAAATGAATGCTTTTAAAATTTAACAATTAATCAATAAAAATAATATCCGATAAAATATCCTATTCCAATTTAATGTAATATTTATGATCACCGTTATACTATATATCCCAGTTAATGTTTAGTTTAAAAAATTCATCATACTTACATATATTAATTTTCAATTAGTTTTCATATAAAGTTTTCGCATTTGTTATACTGCTAGAAATTAATATACGTGTATATGAATATGGTATGCATTTGTATATAATTATAAATACATATATATAATAAATGTCGCTAGTATATTTATTAATGCATTTTGTTAACAATCATATAATATCGAAGCGTATCATAATTATCAATTATGCGCAATGTGAATTTAAAAAGAGAAAAAAAAAAAATTAATGAAAAATTTACAATATTTAGTTTTTTTTTTTTTCAAGATGAAATTCGTGATCAATTTAATTGGTAAATCTAGTGAAAGTGTAATATCGGATCTTATATTAGATTGTTCGTGTACATATTATTTTATGTATATACTCATATTTTATATTTTGTTATAATATATCGTCTATATTTTAATATAGAAATAATAATGTTGAATGTCCAGGTCTACTACACATGTTAATCATTTCGTTTTGAAAGGAAAAGTTGAATATTTTTTTTTCATTATCATTTTTGTTTTTCTTTATAAATTTTTATGTGTGTATAACATAATTGTTCAGCAAAGTTTTTTATATTTTCAAATAGCTTTAAAATTCTATAGCAATTTTTATATCAAATATCAGCAAAGTATAATTCATTAATTTCACTTTTAATTTATTTTTTATTTGCATTGTGATTAGTGATAAATATTTATAAATGGTATTCCATACACTAATTTAAACTTGTTAGATTAAATTTTATGATTTATTAATGAATTTTTAATACAAAATTTATTAATAATCAAATAAAAGAATAAATTGGGAAATAAAACATCACCATTTTTAATTTTATTTATTTTTTTATTCCGTTTTCCTCCACAAAGTATAAATTATTTGTTAGCAAATTCGTAGTAACTTGGTTTTCAAATTTTCCCTAATTAAATAATAATTAATTAGAGTAATACCAAACAAATAGTAGGACATTTTAACTGCTACTATTTGTTTGGTATTACTCTAATGAAAAATTTTCCCATATGTACAAATTGGAGCTCTACAAATATATTGAAATTTTTGTTCTATAAATTTTATTATTCTATTTCGTTTTAGAAAAATATGAGTTTAATTTAATTTAAAATAATATCTAGTATACTTAATAAAAAAAAATAAATATGAAAATTTTTTTTAGCATTTATACTATAGCCATTACTGTAAAGGTCAAATAACAGTTTTCAAATGGTTTTTCCTATAGTAATGAAAGAATATGTAAGAACAACCTGTGCATAAAATATTGAAAGCACGTGTGTATAAAATTGAGGTACATACGTGAAACTATATACTTAATAATATTTTTTATTTTATTTTTAAAATGCTATAAAATATAATATTACTAACAATAGAGTAATGTAGGTTATTATAGAATGTTAGTAAATTTAAATTTTAACTGTTTAAGAAAATTGTATTTTGTATTTGCACGTTTCTGTCTCATTTTTCTTGAAAATTCTAAATTTACTGTATACTTTATTCATATAAATACGCAATATTGCAAAATGAATTTAGTTATGTATAATTAAATTAAATTTGATTTAAAATTTTTTTAGAGACCTTGACTTTGTCATTAGGTAAGCAAAATGATTAACAATAGCATAATTTTTTGAATGTATTGAATTACATTCCACCTCTTACAGAATAAAAAGTCTATTAATATTTAAATTGTCATATTTTAAATGCACACGTATAGAATATTGTAGTGTCTTTCATTAAAGGCGTTTAAATGTATTACTGTAATATGCTTAAATGTATAACTAATGGCCGAAGCTTAGCAGAAACAATTTTAAAAAATGTTCACAAACGATAATTTTGCACTTTTTAAACATTTTCAAAACAAAATATATCAAGAGATGATAAGGCAACACGGATTTCATATTTACAAAACATTGCATATCGCTAGGCTGAACAACTCAGATGTTTTATCATATTTTATTATTGATAGATATTGATGAATACATATTCAGACAAATATTACGTACATTTATCACTAGTTATGTTGATATGTTGATTCTGAGCATTTTTTCCAAGATATATGTACAAGAATCAAGAAAAATGCAAATACGATGTTGAAAATGTCACGTTTTCTCGAATTCCATATAAAGTATAAGATAAGTAGAAAAATGTATACTAATTAGTAATTATATTCAACTGCAATTTATTGAAATGCGAAATTCATCATT